TTGACCGCTAGAAGAAAAGAGAGGACTATTTCACATTTGTGGTGAATTCTACTAGCTACTGTTTTGGGCTTTAGCAGGTTTTTCTGGGTTCTTTGGTGGAGTGAAACTGACTCTGAACACAGCTTGACATATTATCCCATTACACATGTATCATATATGATGTAACACTGGTGTTAATCTGAATTACTTCTGTTGGATTAAAGTGCTGAAAGTGTTTTTGGTTTAAAATCTAAAGGCTAGGTTAAATTGCAAACAGCTTTATACAGATAAGAGTAAGGTGACTGGCCTCCTTTATAGCTCATCATACTTATACTTATCGTTAAATGTAACTGTTAATGTGAAAATCCTCCAAATCACAAATATTTCAGGAGAGTCTAAGACCTCATCCACATACAGCAGCAGTCTTAGTGTCTCATGAGCCATCAGAAGAGTCCCTTTGAGACTGCTCCACCTGTGACGGGGCTGCACCGTGCTGAATCAAATTAGTGACTTGGGGAGCCATGTTGAAACACAGCATACCACAACTCCCGTGTGAATCTCAGACCTCTTCATTACAGCGGCTGATAAGCGAGCATTAGCCTCTATCTCTAGGCCCGCCAACTTTCTCCCATTTCCTTATCAAAGATTCCGCGATGCCCAAGAAAATATTTGGTGGGAAAGCTGAAATGTATCCCACAACTAAAAAGGCTTTGCAAGCTCTTAGTGGCAGATCCTCGTGATTGGAAGGACATGATAAGATAAAACGCTGTGGACCAGAATACTGAAACAGCATTTTGTTTTTAAAAGGTTTCAATTCTACATCCAAATGTATCAGGACAGCGATTATCCACGCAGCATTGTTTCTTTGTTACGCTCTCCCAGCTGTTGTGATGATTTTGTGGAAAACTCTGCTCATTACTGGAAGCTGGAGCAAGCAGGAGGTTTTGAGCAGGCTGCCTGCTCTCACCCATGCAGTGTAATTGGCTCTCCTACTCAGTGAGGTATCTCTTAATAAAGCAGCCTACCTCTGTCTATCCATCTATCTATCCCTGGCGCCATCTTTCCGCTATGCTCAGCAACATTAGCCGCATGAGAATAACAGGGTTGCAAGAATGCCCCAAACCTATTTCCAGATTCATGGTTTCAGTTGACAAGCTGCTATAATACTAAATCCTTAGAAGCTGCACTATCATAACCTTAAACTTGGACTCGAGGCAATGCAGGGTGGAGCTGATCTAACTACTATTAGCCATAAAAAAGGGAAGATGACACTGGCATGACAGGGGCTCATGGGCAGATGCTGATGACCTCAGAGCCCACAAATCACCACCCGTCATGCAGTCTTACATCTGGATGCTCACACTGTGTTTTTTACTCCCACTTGGGATGACAATTTGTTGCACAACAAATAAAATCTGTTTGCTTTAAAAAAATTTCTTCGTGAACATAACATGTCAAAGCTTGTTTGGACTGTTTTTCAAAGAAGAAAAAATGGTATTAATTTATGTAGACTTAGAAAATCCTGAATCGCTGTTTTATTTATTTATTTATTTATTTATTTATTTTCATTTCAGGTATTGAGTTGTTTAAGTTGATGGAGAAAGCACGGTGGGTATACATGTGACACATTGTAAAGTCCCATCTCGCTCTGTTTGCGGACTTGAAGCATGAAAATATGCCTGACAGCTGCGGGGAAACATATGCAGCTGATAAGCTTGAGTTAAAACAACTGGGTATTCATCTGGAGGTGATCAGAGGATAGTTCTACCAGGAAAGACACATTCCAGTTATGATGAGATTCAGCTCTAATTAAGCGAACTCCAACAAAAACACGTCCTCCAAAGAAAAATAAATCTAATTAGAAATGCCACGCTGTCGTTTTCTGTCTCCCGCACTTTGTGTCAACATAAAAAGATGTATTGTAATGCATACGAGAACTCTTCGAGAAGCCTTACAGCATGCATAACAAAACACTGACTGTAGAGTAAGAGGAAGTGAGAGTACAAGATATGCTGCTGCTTTCATTATATAGTTCAGTTCTCCCTTTTTACTCATTACTCCTCATTATATCTGCTGCACAAGTCAACAACAAAAGGAAACATCGTGACAGATACCACGAGCCAAGATCTGGGGGAACAGATTGGAAATGCTGCCACCTAGTGAGTATCTTGAGGCAATAATAATTAAAAAAAATCCAAAAAGATTTTATACCATCTATCCATCCATCCAGTTATATTCTGCTTTATTTTAGGAAAGATTGCAGTTGAAATGTTGACAAACTCACTGGATTCACTGGATTTCATTATGCTATTCTTGAAAATGTATCGGCAATAGGAAACAATTTTAAATTCATTTAGAACACATCTATGCTACAACCCTTTCATCAGTTTTGGCTTGAACAAACTATACTAAACAGCATCCTATGTCCTGTAGACATGAAACAGCTTCTGTTAAAACATGAGAAATGATACACCAGATATTTGTATATTAAGCTGTGATTGTATAGAAATATCCTAAATGATCCTATGTGAAGACATGATACGGGTGTTACGGACACTTTAGAGACATGCAGTATCAGATGAGGAGAGCAGTTCTGTCAGCAGCCACTTGGTGATGCTCTCTCAACATGCAGAGGGCTCCACTTGACATTTAGGGATAATACTCTAAATGAATAAAATATTGCAGACTCATTTTTCATGAAGCAGACTGATAAGTCAATAATCCACGGAAAAGCCTGATTTTTCTTATTAAATCTGCACCACAATCACAGAGAAAGGGGAAGGAAATGAAGCCTAGCAGAGCACTTTGTGAGATCATTTTAAAACTTTATGACAATTAAGGATTAGATTGCACAAATGGAACGTCATGTCCCCGATATTTTGTATATTGAATGTGATAACAGAGCAAAATTTAATTAGAGGCTCGGCAAATATTCCACAATCTCACAATTCCTCTCTAAGTCAGTCTGGAAAGTCACTGGCAACATGGAATCTGCTTGAAAATTATAACATCTGCATTAAACAACGTAAACTGACAAAGCGAGTTCAAAAAACAAGCCGTGTCAAATGCAAGACTCATCGGTCACTATTATAGTTAGAGTGGTGCCGAGGGTGAAGGCTGATCCGTCGCCTTGGAAGGAAATTCCTTGCTGCAGTCTTCCTGACTTCCTCATTAATCAGCCCCCTCTAGTCAGTGCCAATGAATGCTGACATGCTGAGAAAGACACTGAAAATGCTGCGATTAACGTATACATTTACAGAAGCTGCAACTGAAGATGCGATCTGGGTGACAGGGAGTGACGAACATTTCCACGGTTACATAAAAGTATGAATTGAGCAAAATACTGTAAGGTGTAAGCAAATGTAAAACTAATCAACTCTGGAGGGAAAACAACACAAACCAGATATCTGCTTTCTATCCCCTTCTTGATGAGTGAACTGCACAAAAGCTTAAGTACCTATTTCCCATAATGAATGGGGAAATGGGTAGCTCTGAAGCACATATCCATCAGATATTTTACAGACTGCAGAAATGCAATCAAGCGTATTGATGTACACAGACTCTTAAGTATAAATCCGTGGGTTTTATTCAAAGGGCTTTTAGTGGCAAATCAAATGAGCTGAGCAATCTTTTCCAGACAGAGCAAAGCATCTTACGCCTTCTAAAGTTATCTGATGGCATCAAACATGTACACAGGCATGGCAGGGGGCTTGAGGTGACTTCCCATGGAGTTGTCAAACTAATGTACCACTTTGATTTAGTATTTTTTTTGAAAGTAGGTCAAAGATCAGTATAATCAGAAAAATCAGAAGGAAAAACTTTGAGGTAATTGCACGTATGTGTGTACTTATGTGATGTATTTTCATTAAACTAAGTTTGAGAAGTTTATTTGAGCACACCGGGACGCACTTGATTAATGAGGCCATCCTCTGGCTTGTATGCATATGCGGGGCTCAAAAGCATTGTTGATTTAATTTGATTTCTTCACGATGTACAAATAAGTGGGCTCAGAAATAATGCATTAGTGAGCGTAAAACAAACACACACTCGGGAGCTGAGACGTAACACAACTGATGCAGTAACAAAACAGAACTAGTTCATTAAGAAACGTGATAGTAATTCATTATTTAGCTCAAAAACAGATTTAATAGTAGTTAATGGTTTACCTTTATTAGTATGCTTGGCTTTTTTGGTTTAAACCTTATATTTTGGATATTAGACTGATGGTTTGTTACAATGTCATTGTATTATGATATTAAATTAATCATGTGTAGGTGGAATCTAGTTAGCCTAAATAGCCTATATTGTGAGAATATTTGTGACTCAAACTGCTGCAGATTATGATTAATTACTCTGTAAATCACTCTAAAATAGTTTGGGGGAATTCTAGACTCAGGGGGTGGTTCAATGCATAGTAATTTTGGACATTGAAACATGTCTAAAATACCTGGTGTGACTGTAGGGATAGACTATACACTGATTTTCTGGCGCTACTGTTATCGCAAAGAGGTGCTGCAAAATGATAACAAACCGTCTTTGATGATCATTACATTTCGAGTTGATAGCTAAAAGAAAAGGGACTTCAGCCATGACCACTTCGCTTTGCTGAAGGTTGAGTCTCATTTGATGCCGTGGATTTACATGATCAGAAACAAAATCCAGGAAAGTGAGAGCAGCCGATCTCTGCAAGCCCATATAATCTGACAGCTCAGCTATGAGCTGATGTACTGGGACCTTGAGGTCTGCTTGATCTAAACTTGTGCATAAATAAGTTTATAGAAAAGTAAGATACGCTGATCTTTTGAGAATTAAAATTTTATTATTTACCTCACATAGGGTAACAAAACAAAACAGAAGCACATGATATAACTTTTCAGGAGTTTGTGGTTTGAGCTCTTAATTGGAATTAGCCCAGTCAGATAAGACTGGAAGTCAAGTTTGAAAGCGCTGATAAAAGTGAGTTTGGACCCTGAGTTTAGTTACATTTTTTGGTTAAAAATTAAATTGCTTATATAATTTTATATACATTTTTTGATATTTGTATTTGTATATACAAATAGTTTCATATAAAAAGCAATATAATAATCTAATTTGTTTTTAAACTTTGCAGGACACTGGAAATGGCATGGATAAACGGCATCTCCACTACTGAAAAAAATATGGACAACTTCTTTCCTCAAAAGGGTTTGAGATCCTTTTGAAGAGCTTGGAACAGCTGGATTAGGGTGTCGGTCCACATCTCTTTCTGGTGCTTGTTGGTGATACGAGCCAGGGTCTGAGTGGTGTACACTAACGTCAGCACTGTCCTCTCAAAGTCCTGCCAGCTCAGAGGTTGGCGCCGCTGGGTGAGCTCAGCCGTCAGACGCCTGATGTCGGAGAGCCTTTTAGGCAGTACTTCCTCACAGATGACTTCCAGCTTTTCCACACTTCTCAGGGAGGCCAACTCCTCATCTGGAATCAGCAGGGTGTGTCCATCACCTTGTATCTGCATTCCACCCAGCAGAATCTGGGAGATAGATAGGCATCCACTAAATTCACATTCACATATATAAGCAGCTAACTGAAAAATGGAGTTGCTACCAAGGTCACGTCCTGTTAACGGCTATTTCAATCTGTTCCAAAGAGCCTAATCATCTAAATATTTTGAAATGAGCTTAAGATGGCATAAGAAAGTAAAATATCTTTTTCATCAATGTCACCAAAATATCTCACATTCCTGCTAATGATTAGGAGCACAGCAGCAGTACACAGTGTTTTGTTCTAATCAGCAGGGTGAGGCCACAAATGTGTTACTTTTAGAAGTCTTGTGCACATTCTAAGCATACTGGTTTCCATTAAAGAAACACTAGTTCATGAACTATTTCGGGGCCGCAAGAACTTAACTGACCTCAAAAAGCAGCTTGATGTCCTCCACCGAGTGCTGGAATGTGGGGTTGATCAGTGAATATGTTCCCCGTTTTATCCTGTATGCAGATGGGTACAGCACTAGAACACACAAGAAGAAAAAATTGGATTATAGAATCTCCCTTTTCAAAAATTAAGGCAGGACATTATTTATTGTGACATTTATGCGGGAGGGCCAGAGGTTGAGTAAACACATATTCATTACTGTTCAAATATTATGTATGTGGTTGAGACTTGGGCTCCAGCTGTGAAGAGATCAACTGGTCTTTGACCTGAGCCACAGTTGCTACAAGCACCAGCGGCCTGGTGCCCCCAGAGGTGCGATATCTGCTTATTGACTCGTGGAAGGGCAGGTGTAACTGACCTCATTTGGTCAGGCTTCAAAGTGTCACCCCATATTTGTAGCAGACGGGGGATCTCATAATGTGAGGTGTCCTGATACGGCTGGAATGAAACCCCTCACTTTCAGCTAGAAACAGTTGCTGCTGCCGCCTCATTTCTGTGATAAAATTGAGCAAAATCCATATTTTCCTGGAAGTGATAACAAGAGGCTAAACCTCACATCTAGAGGTGGACAGCAGCTAACATTACTCACATACTTTCCTAAGTATCTGATGTACTAACAATTAAGCACGGGGCTATTTTGGAATATTTTGTTTTTAGCCTAATTCAGAGGTTTTTAAAATTCTTTTTAAATGCACATTGTACAGTGTGATGAAACTTCAGAGTTCATAATTCTGGACCACCAGAGTGAGCTGCTCTATAGAGATGTGAAATTGGAAAGAAAAATCCAGCAGAAGCCTAGCTCAGGATCTAGAGGAGATTCATCAGGTCCTTCAGTTGATCTGTCTGCCGATCACTGAAGCCTGATCAGAAATGGTCTCAGTGGAAGAGTGGCTCTCAAGAAGGAAGGGGAACAGAGAGAAAGGGCTGGGGTAAGTTAAATTACACAAGAACTGATACGGTTAATCCCATTTTACAACTTTTGTTACAAATCGAGTCAATTAGTTCACTGGTCTAAAATGAAAAATAACATTATGGTCTAAATTGTCTAAATGACATAGCTGTGTCTAAGAAATGATTTGTGAACTTCCTTAATCTAGCAACACATTTGCATTATAATATTTTGGATAGGAGTCCTGTGTGACAGTGAACAGATATTCCTACTGGCAAGTTTATTTCAGGCTAAAAGAAAGATTAAGAGTCACACGAGAATGTGCAGGGTCTGTTTGTAATAATATAACTTTGAATACTGCCCAGACTTTGAAAACTTTTTTATGTATCTCTGTTATCTCTCCAAGAACCATTTTTGTTAATGTAGCATCAGGAGAAGGAACTGAAAATCAAATTTGATTTGCACAGAAGGAGGTCCATCCATCCATCCATCTTCATCCGCTTTATCCGAGGCCGGGTCACGGGGGCAGCAGCCTAAGCAAAGGAAGGAGGTTTCACAGTATAATGAATTAAGGGAAAACTTCCTCTAGGGTTCTACAGCTGTTCAGCTCTCTTTTTCCATTGCTACCCATATTCTGTTGCCGTCCAGTACTCCATTCAGCGTGTAAGCCAACACACGGAGATCTTAATGAGGTATACAGTATATAAACACTGGCATTCATGTTAATTTGGATGTCATCCTTCCTCTCTGCTACAGTGGCATCTATGGATTCCTGCTTCACCAATTCTGCAGTAATGATCAGCTTGACTGCCTGCAGCATCGCTGGCCAGATACATTTAGCTTTATAGCAATTGTCAGGCCAGCCAAAGCCACACAAATTGGCAGAGCTCCCTATGTACCTGCTTCCTGCTTGGGCGACTGCCAGTCTCAGCTCTGGCCTCCCTTTCGCAGCACAGCCACTGCTCTCAATGTAAAGAAATGTGTAGCTCCACATTTCCATGTTGGGGTTCCAAAAATCTGGCACATCTGTGTAATCTTTAGCATGTTACCTCAGTCCTTCCACCTGCCCCACCGTCAGGGGCCATAGCCAGACGTTGTGAAATCTCAAATAAACACTGTCTAACTCCACCTTTTCCTATAATATGAATTTGGGTTTCAAGGATCAAAACATATGTACTTATTGTAAATTCCAAATGCAGATGAAATGCTGTTCACGACCCTCATCATAATGTCAGAAATCAATAAAAGTTCAAACACTTCTAATGGAGAAGTTTGAACTTGTTGAAGAGTGACTCTGAAGCAATATAATATGCAACATGCACAGTTGTTCCAACCCCCAAACACCAAAGACAAGTAGAGAGAAGATTTCCCCAGATCAAGTACTAACATCCAACTCTAAGTGGATGACAACTTGTAGGTGAAAATGTATACTCCTCATTGAGTATGCAGCTCCCAAATGCATCAGGTATTGTGGAGGAGCGATGCCTGTGCAGACATATTAGTTACCGAATAGATACGGTAGCTTCAGCGGGCCATTGCTAAAGTAAACAATACAACACCCGAGGGTGCTCATTAGAACAAGGGTTATATCGTTAAAGGATTGAGGCGATGCGGGGAAATGACAGCTTGGAGGCCAGCCCAGCGCTGATTTACATCTAAAATTAATAATCTGTAATTTACAGAAAAAGGCTCTGCTACTACTACAATAGTCCTTTGGCATGTAGGAAAGTGTGTGTTTTATGTTTATAGCAGCTCCAATAGCACTTTGGAATAAAAATATTATAGCTTGTTATAGTTGGAGCTGCATTAGTGTATATGTGCACAGGCAATAACAGTAATTCTAGTCATTCCATTAAATTGTTCGATTTCTCCCAGCACAATATTGTGAAGGCGATACTGACTTAGAGGAAAGATAGGTAGGAGCACACACTGGATATCTAAATGAATCATGCTTAAAGATTACAATGAAAATGAACTAGCTTATAAGTTTGAGACACTGTGACTGACAATATGGCCAATAACAAAGAAAAAGGGCACATACACGTAGAAAGGAGCTAATGAAGGAGCACAGGTGGTTGTGAAGGTCAGGTAGAGATAACAGATGTGAGAAATTGAGGCCACTGCAGGATAGATATTCAAGATATTGTTCATTCTGTTACAAGCAATAAATAAATTATTGTCATTTAGCGCCTGCCCTCACTGCAGGACAGTCTTCTTTGCATCGTGGATTTTAGCTTTGAGGAACTGCATGAACAAAAATATGTCACTGTGGAATTTCACATTCCCCAATGGATGACCAAATAGAGTGCATAATAAAGTAAATGGAAAAGAAATATTTCGACACAGCTGGTGAAGGGCAGACAACAACAGATGATTAATGGTGCAGAAAATGTACTGAACTTTGCCGTGACAACATATAAAATCCAGGAATTTATCATAGTGAAGGAGAAATAATGATATTTAGTCTTTTTTGATTACCAACCGCTATGCAAAACTAATGTCTTTGATTATGCCGCGTTAATGTGCAATATTTATGAATGTGAAAGTGACATCTCAGCTTTAATCACTACGATTGTATCACATGTAAGTGAGGAGGCTGGTGAAGGTAGGCTGTCCATATATGTTAGAGCTGGATTTTTCAGGCTTTTCCATGAAGTTGTTTTTGGTGGGTGGGGGGTCGGGAGGTAGGGGTCGGCTAACGTGCAGGCGAACAAACCATCACGAGGTGATTCATTCTTATGAGCAAATTTTTCTTTTTTCTCATTTTCAGCTTGAATGTTTAATATACTGCTGATGTCCTTTATCACAACATATCAGCTTTCCATGCTGCTTGTTCTAAGCCCATTCACCCGTCATGCTCCCCTCCCTCCTTCGGCGCTCCAAACAATCAATGTTTGGATGGGCAGGCTTCCCCCCAGTGTCATTATGTAGAGGCAGGGAACTTGTAATCTCCCGCTAACTGCTTGCAAGGAGATGAGGGAACAACAAAGATCCATTAATTAGCTGGGCTAAATGGTACTCCTGGCTGGAAGGATGTCTTGACGAAGACAGAAAGAGAGAGAAGGAAAAACAATCAAAAACAGAAAAAAAAAAACCCCAAATGAATGTCTGGATCCCTCCAGCGTACGATAAAAGAGGGTGAAAAGGACACAGGATACAATGAAATCTTCCCTGCAATGGACCATCTTCTACATTTCACTATATCTCCAAATAATAGAAAATGGTAAAATCCCAATCCATGACAGTATTGTAGTGAGAGAGAGATTTAAATTCTACCATTTATGATGTAAACACAGATCATCATAAATACTGCGAATAACTGTGAGGCCAGCAGTAGTAAAGCCCAGCTGCAATAAAGTCATGCAGTGGTGCCAGGGAAGCTGATATATACTGGGGACAGTGGTGACAACTGGAGATATGGGAGAAAGGTTGCAGTTTCTCCTGGTTCCCCATCACCCACACTCCACCTCATGGAGGTGTGAGCTTAGCCTTTAATAACCCACACAAGCCTGGGCACATTCCCAACTCATCACTTGGTTAGTTTCTTCTGTGATTAGTTGGTGTCACGTTTACATGCAGTGCCCTTTAACATTGTTTTTCAAAATATGCTAATGTTGTGAAGAGGCCTATAAAACCTATCGCAAGAAGAGATGATTCAAGGTCACATGATCCAGCTGTAACTAAGCTTCATCAGATTGGAAAGTTTTAGGCCTAATCTTAAAAGTAGAGAGGGTATCTATTCTCAGTACCAGTGTTCAATAGCTCTATTGTCTTATTCCAACTAAAGAGATGGGTTTGCAACCAGCAACTGCTAAACTACTAAAGTTGAAGTCATGTCATGAACCGCTGTAGATCTGATGAAGCAAAACAGGAAAACAGGTCTAAATAATAACAGCTTCAATGCTTCTTATTTCAGAAGCAAAGTCCAAAAGTCAAGTCCAAAAATCCTTTAGTCAACGAAGCATTTAGCTGGGGAATCCAACACAAAGAACACAAAGCTAAGGAAACACACAACTATATGCAACAAAAGACAAAGGAACACTGAGACAACATATATACAAAAGGTAATGCAGGAAGAGGAGACGGGTGAGGACCAAAACCAAGCTGAAGCCAATCAGGGAATCAGTGAGGACAGGGACAGGAACAAAAGCTACACTCAACATGAATAAAAACGGAACCCTTTAAAGTAAAGACAGACAACAAGATGGAGTGAACATGAAGACAAAGATGACAAAGACAAACAGAGATGAGACAGAAGGAGGAACAGAAAAAGGGGAACTAATTAAAAACAACCCTAAAGTTACTGTTTTAACAGCAACTGAAGGAACAAATAACAAAGCTAGAAAGACAAAACTTGTAAACACAAAGGAATTAATGAGTAAAAAAATTAAACACTAACAATAACAGAAACCTAATCCAAAGATCACATAACTTCAAAACTACAAAGAATCCTGAACTTGAAAATTCAAAACCCTGGGTCCAAAACCGGGTGACCACTTGTTTAACCATTCACAGAATGATCGCAGATCAGTTGCTCACTACTTCCTAAAACTTGTTGGCTTGTTGGTGGTTTAGTAATTGGTTGAAGACCAAACCAGACCTGAAGGCCAGACAGAGATTGTAGAGTTTGCATGGAAAGTCCCTGACACTCACCAACGCTGGCCGAGCAGTACTGAAACTGTGAAAAGTGAGACAGAAGCAGGAAACATTTACTTTCAAGTTAAAAGCTGTGCCTAGTGTTTGCAGACAATCCGATGTCTTTACTGCAAATTCTGCTAATCACCAAAGAAATCACAAAGAGATTTTTGGTGCAGGACTCTCTTCGCTGTTGATTTCACCTACAGACACAAACCTAAAGACAGTACTTGCCAACCAGTTTGGGAATACTTTTCAGTTATGTATGACAATGTTAGACTGTCATACTGGTGTCATACTGCAAACTGACCAATGACTGATTGTCATGAGTGCTATTCACAGAGCGCTGAATGGCTACAACCACATCGTTGTAAGATGATGAATGATGAAATATATACTCTTAGGCTCTCTCTTTGATTCAGCAATGGCTGCCCAAATCAGCGCTCCTCACTGTCCTGAATGTGCACATCCTCATCACTGAAAGAGCGGCTGCTGGCCTGTACATGTAAACAGAGCAGTCCTGGACTGATTCTATGCTGTGCTATCCACTCCAGTGTGAACTGAGCTGCTTGCAGTGAGATTGTAAATAGAGAACTGCTGTTTCCCTCAACTCCAGGAACATTTCTGAACATTAGCTTCACTTTCTTTCTGCTCTTGTTTTCAGCAGCAGTGGGCAGTTGTTGACAACACAGACAATTAATGCATGTTCAGAAACTTTTTATTGACAATGTCACTTTGGATTTTTGATTTATTGCTGAAGGGGGGAAAAAGTCTTACAAACTTTTAATAAAACAATGATTAAAAAATGATTTCCTGGATTTTGGTGATATGGTATAACAATGTAAACAATTCTGAACTTTCTTTGTTTTTGCTGGCTTCAGCGTCATGTGACTTGTCTACAGATTTCAAGGCCTGCGAGTGATGAGAAAGGAATTTCCTCAGTGAGTAGATCCAGTAACAACAGGCCAGTCATTTTTCGCTGGAAAACGATCTGCTGATGTCCTGCAAACTGCAATGTTCCTGCTAACTGAAGAGGATAAACACATTCTTTCACAGCTGGAACCACAGACTCGTACCAGGACTCAGCCATCACAATTTGACTCTGTCTCTGTCTTCTAGTAATATTTTAAATGATCCCACAAATGAAAACAGAATAATTTGTGAATGCAAATATACTCAATGGTGATAAAATTGCAATTTATCTCATAATAGAGAGACACTAATCAGACTCTTAATAATTGCGCATTTAGACCTAATTACCAGAGCTTGTGTGCCAACATACCTTTCCTGTGGTGCTGACTGGCAGCACAGTAGCTGCACAGGTAAACAACAGTGAGTAAAGTCCACCACTGTGCCATGCTGATGCTCACAACCAAGATCCACTCGTACAAATCAGTACACACTCTCTTCTTTCTGAGTTCTGTCTCTCAGTCATAAATGAACATCTCAACGATGAATGAGAACCCTCCTTTCCACTTCATAGGCTTTGTGCATAGGATCATCTTTCACTGTTTTCAATTTTCTTTTGTCCCCTCCCTTCTTCATCTACTTTCAATTCTTTTTTTTTTTTTTTTTTCGTGTGTGTTCTCTTCTCAAGCCAGGGTGTCTGGGCTCTCATCTGGAATTCATCAGAATTTTGGGAAAGCCTGCCCTCTTGGCTGGACTTTTCTTACAGCTACTGGATGGCTGCTTTACTGGCTGAGTGGTTCAGCCACTGAGTGACTCTTCAGTTGACCAGGCAACTGAGCAAATGGTTGAGTGGCTGACGAAATTGCTAACTGAACATAATCACATCCACTGAGCCACAATCAAGCCAGTTATGAGAGCGATGGACTACTCAGGATAATAACTAATTTGACCACATTTATCCCATCACACTGTAGTCAGAGGTCAGACATGGGACAACAGCTTTTTTTTTCATTTATTCACAACATTTGAAGAAAGAAGCAGCCTGAAGTCCAAATAGGTTGTAAATAAGCCAACAGTTCTAAGAAATAGTTCTTTTAACCCCCCCCCCCTCCAAATCTTCTGGATAGCAGACAGTGACAGATGCTATTTGGCTGTACACTATGATGGAGGTTAGTGCAGTTTATCTTCCACAAGTGACATCAAACCAATATTTGAGATTATTTTAGCTTCATAAGAAAATGGCCCAGGTGGGTGCTTAGAATAGAATAATTCTGGTATTTGCCTTTTATTTCCTTTAAGTATGTCTGGGTCACCTGAGGGTTCCTTAAGCCCCTTGCTTACTGCCCTACTACTTTATAGCCTGTGTACTTGTGATCCCAAATCTCAGCATTCGATTACTGCAATCTATAATAAATGCTAGTGATTCTATTTACTCACTAAAAATAGAAACTGTCCCCCTTAAGCAGATTAACATTTTTGTTGTTGCTATATGCTTAAATTCTTGGTTATTTTATTACATTTTTCAAATTCATCTTTCAGGAAACAAAGCCCTGCCTTAAAAGAATTGTTTAGATGCAGGTAGGGACCCCAGTTCTGCCGCAGGTGTATTCCTGCTAAAAGGGAGTTTTTCCTTCCCACTGTCGCCAGGTCCTTGGCTTGAACAAAGAGGGTCTTTTGATTGTTGGGGGTTTCTCTCTATCGTTGTAGAGTCTTTAACTCACAATATAAAGTGCCTTGAGATGACTGTTGCTGTGATTTGCTACTATGTTAAAAAATGGATTTGAAAAAGTTGAAAGTACATCAAGAAAACCCGACTGGAGACAAACAACTAGTCAACATCAACAACGCTGTGAGGACCGCTCAGAGCATCTTGATTAAAGGCTGTCAAGACTCTCTCCCCAAGTCTATATTCTCTCCTCCACAGTGCCTTCTGCTCTTTGTTGTCACAGAATATGTGCAATAAACACGCAGTACGCCTTCTTGTGCCAAGGCATATAATAGCCTGTGTAGGTGCTTTTGGATTTCAGATAGTATGCTTTCTTGGCTGATTCTCTAAGGCTGTGTCTGCTAAAATAAAGGAGATAATATTCCAGTGATGGTCTTGCGTAAAAGCAGTTAAAAAGACAGACACTTGTGGCCCTGCAGTAGATTAGAGAGCAATAATTAATTATTCAAATAGAGTCTAACGATATCAAACTTAAATGCTTATTTTAACAAAAACAAAGGTGATAAGAGCTAGTTTCTTATCGACACTATGCCATTTGAATAAACAATGAAGTCTACTTTCTGCATGAAGTTAACATCCACTTTTTGAATGGAAAGCCACTGAAGTTTCACCATTTGACAGAAGCATCAGTAGTTTATGTCAACAAATGCATTTAGATATGATCGCACAAGACAAATAGTTCTCTCATTTCATTTGAGTAGTAAATGAAAAGTCAGTGAGACGTTTGGGAAAACCTTCAACTGAATTTAACAGTGTGAAAAATGACACAATTCATGCATTTCATTTTAGTGTGCCCAAAAAAATCTGATGGGAAATAAAGTGAAGAAGGTGCATGGAAGGATTATACAGCATGCAGCATAACAAAAATATTTTTTTTTAAAAACAGCTCATCCTGCTTGATTAGGAGACATAAAGCATAGAAATGGTAATTTAGTGATATTAAGAAATTTGATTCATTTACACAGCTCTGAATTTATGTGCTTTTGCTTTACTGCCACCATATGTTTGCATCTTTGCTAGTAGCAGATGGGCGCCCAAGGTATAATGCCCTCAGCTTTCTTTAACCTACTCAACACAAAACACAGTTGCAAGGATGAGAACTCTGGAAGAGTGCCTCTGTGGGCAAGCTGTAAGTCTCGTTCGCATGCGATTCACATGAGTAACACGTAAGGCGCAGGCAGATGGCGTTCTGAAGGGCAAAACAAAAGCCCAAAACATAATTCTCTGCTGCTTATGTCCTTTGTGTTTGCCTGCAGGTGCACAGATTTAACTACTGTAAGACAAGAAAAATGGTAATGACCCCTGAGTGCGTGAGGTTGTACAAACACAGTCCGATCATGTGCAGTGTGAAAGAGAACCAGTTCTCTTGTCTCTGTAACCATGAGGGGGCAGTGTTACGACACAGATCCTGAGTGATCCACAATTTCCCAACTTATCCAAGATCCTGCAGTGATTGCTGCTGCTCCCCAACTCTTTTGACGATGGTGCATGAATTCCAAAATAATTGAATTCTATTCAGATAAGGTCTGGCAACGTGAATGCAGCCACTTAAGAGAGATCAAAGAGGTTGTTTGGGTTCAAACCAGGTGGGGACCCTCGAGACATCCTTTAGTTTAATTGCTTCTATGCTGCAAATCAGTGGAATGCCTCAAATATGCAAATTTACACGAGGCCACTGCACATCTGAACTTGCACGAGGCTTGCTTAACAGTCGAATTGCTATCACGCGAAAAGTCTGCAGCTGCAGTTTTATGTTATAATGCAATGAGTCAGGATAATAAATAAACACCTGATCTGATTGTGCAAATAAAGAAAATGCTGAGATTCGGACCGCTGGGGCTTGGTACCATTGCCCAGCTAAGAGACTGTGACTCATTGGGAGTGTTTGGAAGAATAGCGAAAACTTGTCATTTTATGATGTAGGTAGTTATTGGTTTGACATATTGCTGCAAGTAAAGCCTGGAGACCACAGCAAGCGACTGCTTATACACGTTTAAACACATTACCTGGGGAAAATGCTTCCAGAGCATATACAGTACTGTTAATATACATGCATATAATGTTGTTCAGTTCAATGTTTCTTTTTAGTTTTAATCCTCAACCAAATCTCTGCTGAGACACCTTCCTTTTTAATTATTTCACTGTAAATGACAATTGGTTCTTGCTTTGTGCTCAAGGTTGCAAAGAGGTAAAAATAAAAATAAAATAAAAATCACAAGGACCATATTAAAATAAAATAAGAAATGAAAGTAAATATCAGAGACTAGGTTGCAGAGAAAAGTGCATCATGAGGATAAATACAACTTAGGAGTCCAGGCTTTAGAGAAAGAGTGAGAAAAGTTTGAGAACAGTTAGAAATGAACTCTTAGAGTTTAAAACCAAGATCTATTGATTGACCATAGTTAGTGGCAGCATGGCAGCCGTCACAACAAGTGAGGCCAGTGTGAGAATGGGCTGTCTAGAGAATCTCTACCTACCTGGCAGGAGGCACATCACACTTCAAAACAACTCAACAAAATACTGCGAGCATGTGAGTGCTCAACCACAATGCCTAATCATCATACCTCAAGCAGAATAATTACCTCGACTGTCCATCACACCTCTGCAAACAATTTCATCAGGGCTCGTCAGCACAGAAGCACAGTCACAGCACTGAGTCTTTAAATGGAGCTAGCATGTCTTGGACAGCTTGGAATGTCACGATCAGCCCTCGTGGGTGCCGGGTGTCTCCAAATCCTAAAAAGTAGGTACTTGTCTGCCTGATATATCCTACACACTAGAGAGGAGACAGCTACAGCAGCATGTTAGCCTAAACAGGCCACCTGTCACATTACTTTGGCATGCAGTATTTATTACCAAACAATATCCCAATTAGCCATGACAGGAAACAAAGCTTTGTAACACTTGAGAAATTAATAGAACGTGTTTGCAAAAATCATGTTGCTAATTTTCTCCTATGTTCTCCTGTTTGACCAATTAATTTATAATAGCCTGATTCATAGTCAGCTGTGCAGCCATTATTACAATGCACGAGTGTAAAACAGCAAAACAACATAAATAACTGTCTTCGCAGTTTAAAACCACAGACACACTCATTAACATGATGTATAGCATAGATTTTAAATTCTTTTCTTTCTTTTTTTTCCCAATAAAAGCTACCACTTTCAGACAGTGGTGTTGGGGAATTATGAACACAGAAAAGTAGCATCAGATTTTTATCCACCATGCAATACCATCTGGAAAGCATCTGATTGGCAACAACTTCAATTTTCAGCTTGACAATTATCCCAAACACATTGCCAATGCAGTAAAAACGTACCTGGACAGAAAAGCACACAGTGGCTCACTACCAGTCTTGGGTTACCAAGAGCCCGGACTTCAACACTACTGAAACATGTGGGAACGTCTGGACAGAGAACGTAACAACATCCAAAGAAAAGGTTTGGATGTCCTTCGAGAAGCCTGGATAACCATTTCTGAAAACTACTCAAAGACATTAGTAGAAAGCTTGATTAAAAGAGTTCAGGCTGTGCTGAAGAATGAAGGTGGCTTTAGAAGGGACACACATCCAGAAGTTGCAGTAGTTGCTGCAGAGAGGGATATTTTATTTCAAGCCAACAGGAAAATAATCACGGAAATAGTTTAAAGAGACATTACGAACACATAGAAATGCATATTAGCTACGCAGCATAATTTTTCCCAGCACTGAATGCCACTGGAATGTACTTCATGCACTTCATACCTTTCTTTGGTCACTAGCAACTTGGCTTTAAACATATTATCTCCCCCTGCTGGTACTGCAATTTGCCGCAACTTGTGCATGCACGTCCATTTCACGGTAAAGTGGG